CATTCAGGTATTGAAAGAATCTCACAAGAAGAATTGGGAAGGGAAGAGAGCATCTCTAATTCAAATTCAATGAAATTTTGTGGATATATTGTATGTATGAATGTATTGTATTCACTGTACAATACAAAGGATTCACTATTTAAACATTCTTCAAGAAAGTGACACTAGAATTCGGAGGAAAGAATTTTTCTAATTCGATTTCAATGAAGTTTTATGGATTTATTATATGTGTGAGTATTGCATTCACAAATTGTACAATTATAAATAAGTTTCATATGATAATAAAAAATCCAATTTGCAATTTAATTATTCTTTTAATGTTTATCTCTATCACAGAATAACTTCAATCTTGGTTTAATTTACTTTTTTTTAGTTCTAAGAATTGTTAGAACAAAAAAGTAAATTAAACTGAAATTAAAATTAATAAATGTAGAAATATATAATATATAAAATAAAATCCATTAAAATCCGTTAAATAGAAAATTAGAAAAGCTATCCTTCGTTGATTAGTTTAAATATAATTTATGGGAAACCATGATTAGCTACGGTGTTGTTCAACTTTTTTTTAACTTTTACGTGGATTTCGATCTGCAGGCAGTATCATTTGTTTACAAAGAATTCCTATCACATTTTGTATTCTAGATATGTATATATGACAGTCCAATGTTCAATAAGACAATGTATGCCTCAAGTAATTTCGACTGTAATCCGCAAATATTTTGATATTCATTAATTTATTAATTACAATTCCATTTCTACTAATATAAAATAATTTAAATTTTGATTTACCTTATCATTTTTTATCATTTTTTAACTTTAAGAATTGAAACAGATAGAGTAGATTAAAGATTAAAATTAATCTATATTAATAGAAATAAACATAAAATATCAATTCAGATGCTCATTATTTCAAAAGAAGTCACGTGAGATAATAAAATTTGAATAGTCACGTTTGCTCACGTGATCTATTTGGCTGTATTTCGATATTCACTGTCAATGATATGTACTGAAAATATATAGTTCGTGTCATATATTCTATGCAGCCTTTGACCTGTATTCATAGGGTGCAGTCCACTTGATGCTACAAATGCTTCGAAGCATTTTTTGATTGGTCAATTCATAAAATTCTTCGTTTTGATTGGTTAATCAAACGTTTCGAACTTTTTGTAGCGCTAAGTAGACCGTAGTCATAGACAGTTCTCATATTTTGTTCTTAAGATCGAACGATTTTAAACATAAAAACTGCTATGAATACTGGCTTTTGACGCTAAAGTAACGTTGAGTCATCAGTACAAAAAATATCTTCAGTCAGTCGGTAGATTTCTTTATTATTAATTGAATGATTCATGACAGGAGCAACTTTCCATCAAGAGATACAAATCGACATAGGAATCATTCAGTCGATTAAAAAAGACAAAATGACTCCTATTGACTCCACGATTTGTGGAGCTTCGACTTTTGTTGAAAAACTCAAAACATAAATTGGAGTGCAGCATTTACTTAATATTCTATTTCTTGTATTACAACGGATTGATTGTAAGAATATGAATGTAGTGAATTTTCGAGAAGAACTTCTTCTATTTTACAATCAATCAATCAGTACGTTCAAAAAGTTTGTCGTACTACAAATGAAATACTATTACAAATTTGATACGTACGATATTCTTGTTCTTGAATAGCAAAACTTACGGCATTTGCGGCATTATGTGAGGCATTTCATGTGAGGGAGCCATAAGATTCGCATAGGATTTGATTTGGCAGCGCGATGCAATAGTGGAAGGTGGGGGGAGGGGGAGGACCGTCTCATGGCCTGTCGTGGTTGGTCAGTGCGGTAGCTGCGGGAGACTTTTGGAGGTTATAACCAGCGTCCGGCGAGGATCGGCATTCTGTTCGTGGGTTATCGCGCGGGTGACATAGGTCGGCGGTGGTAGACGCGTTTCGTCGTTACGAGCGAAAGGACGCGCATAGGTGCTCTCGAGGTGGCGGCGCAGCTAACTGGCAGCCACCGTACACGTGAATTCGGCCGTTCACACGTTACATACGGCAAAGTGGACTCGATGTCGATAATATGTCGGCTACGAGCAACGTCAGGACGACGCGGATGCACAGGATGGCCTGTCGGGCCGTTTGACGATTATTTATGAATTCACGGAAAGATCTGAGAAGGTGTTTACGATACAACAACATGGTGAAGGAGAAGGCAAATTCGATCCGCATCTACGACTCCGAGGGTTACAGACGCAGAGCCGCCTGTATCTGCGTCAAAAATGATCTCGAGGACGAGGTAAGCCAGCTGGCAGATGGCAGCCACCTATATTTTTGCCGGCACGCGACATCGCCGCACGTGCCTCGTAGTCGGACCGGTTTAACTTCTCTCTCTAAAGAAAAAAAAATGGATTTGGATTGAATTTCTCCCTTGATCGTTGATCGAATTGGATGCACCTCGTTGAGGTCGATGAGTAAGTTGTGGCATGCACTTTCGTACGGTTTTTCACGTGTTCTCTGTGTCTTGAATTATAGGTACTATTGGTTACATCCAGTCGAAGACCCGACAGTTGGATAGTACCAGGCGGTGGCGTTGAACCTGAGGAGGAACCGGCGGTCACGGCTCTCCGCGAGGTCCGAGAGGAAGCTGGTGTTCTAGGACAGTTAGGCCGTTGCCTTGGCACATTTGAGGTTATAACTCGTGATGTATGCCACACAAATATGTTATGTCTCATTCATTATTAAGTTCACTCTTTTTTTTATTGATGTTGCATATAATCATATCATAATCTTTCAGTTGTATTTGGTTTGTTTGAAATATGGATATTGAATGATGCATCAGGTTCTTCCTTCATTTGAATTCTCTCTGTTGCAGAACACTGAACATAAACATCGAACGGAAGTATGGGTTATGCGAGTGACCGAAGAGTTACCAGAGTGGGAAGACTCGCGTGCTATTGGTCGGAAGCGAAAATGGTTTACTATACCAGAGGCCCTGCTGCAGCTTGGTCAACATAAGCCCGTCCAGCGCTCTTATCTGCACAGCCTCCATAATACCAATCCTCGGCATAATCCCACCTCACAACTGTCCAATCATTCGCACTCTACAATGGCGTCTATCGAACTAATGAATAACTCTAGTAACAATACCCATTTGAGCGAACACAGCTAATACCGTCGCGGATGATTTCGTTTTTAATCCAAAATTTCATCACCATGGATTTCTCCAAGCAACTCACTGTTACTTCTCCTTTCTTCCCCTAAGGGAATTACTATGCAACTACTGTTGTGTTTTATATATATAAATTGATATTAACTATGTGCTTATCTTTATCATTATATTCTTAGGTTAATTACAATTATTATTACGTTTAGTCTTAGATTGTTAATAGATCAGTTCGCGAAGGAGCACATTTTTGTAGCTGAATCCTCATTCTGATATTTCTTTTTATCGAACGTGCGAGAAGAGAGTGATTAAGTCAATTATTTTATTATTATTATTTAGTGTTTGTGCCTAATATACGTAGAATGCCATACACGTAATCCTTTTCCACGTATCACATATTCTGGATGTACAGTTGCGCGAATAGCATCTCGAAATTTTTTCTACATTTCGTCGAGACGAAGGAAAAAAAGATTGCGTTATACTTGTTAATCTACAAACGATAAATTATGTACTTTGTATATTAACTTCTTGAATAAATTTTGTAATGATTTCTGCGAATTATGTACAGCAGATGCGCGCAAAACTGCCGCTTGAACACCCTCCGTCTGATAAAAAGGAAAAAAAAATATTAAAAATTTTAATACTCTCGAATTTTTTGCTATGTAATGTAACAATAGATTAACATTTAGTTGTTAAAATTTAAGTTCTCGATTTTAGATATCTATAGTTTTCTCTGTTATTTATTTTCTTGTGCGATATTTTGTGATAAATATAGTTTGTATAGCTTAGATTCTGAAATTTTTTGTGGAAGGAAAGGAACGAAAAAACGAACAAACTTTTGTAGCAGACTCTAATGAGACATTAAAAATTTTTACTATTTAAAAATAGTTATACATTTTATAATTCTTATCCTTATACGTTATTAAAATTTTACATTTCTAAACAGGAATATTTAGCTTCCAACATTCTTTTTTCTGAAATTTTAATATATGCTTCTATTTTATTTGAAATGCAAAACATATATTAAAACATATTTTAATTTCTTTTTAATTGCATTTTTATCTTTTCTTTTTATTTTAATTTTTCAAAGCAGCGCTAGACAGGTTTAAATGCAAAATTAAAAAATAAGACGGGAATCACATTATAAATTTCGTAACTGGAATTTTGAGACACTCTGTATATATGACGAGTATGCGCAGATGGTGAGTGTTCCAATAATCTCACGTGATTATGACCGGTTGTGGTTTATAACGCAGATGAAATTAACTTTATAATTAATTTTTCTTTAAAAGGAAAAAATAATCATAGATTGTTCAGATCAATTTTGATTTCTTCAAGTAAGTATAAATTTAATTGGAAACACATTTGGTTAATATAACCGTTTAATATATAATATTTTAATGAACAACGGTTTTTGAGGTTATGGTACATTATACAGCACATGATAATTTCAATAACTTACATTTTTCTAAATATTTTTAAAAATATATATATATAAAAAATATATTAAAATATATTTAAAAATTATAAAATTCATTGCAGTTAAAATATTACGCTTATCTGGCATACTTATGCATTCCAAAGATATGCCTGAGGAAATGGAAGAACCAATGGAGGATGTTTCGAACGAAGATGAAAGTAGTGAAAGCATGGACGAATCCACAGAGGGTGAAAACGTGAATGAAAGTCATGAGGAAATCAAGTCGAACGTCTACCTTCCGGGGCAGGCTCTACAAGAGGGGGAGGAACTTATTGTTGATAAATCAGCATATAGGCTACTGCATCACGCACAATCCGGAGCACCATGTCTCAGCTTTGATGTGATACCAGATGATTTAGGTAACTCCAGAGAGAGTTATCCCTTAAGCATGTACATAGTCGCTGGAACGCAAGCTGCCAAGACGCATGTCAATAATCTCCTTGTCATGAAAATGTCCAATTTACATAGTAATAAACAGCACTCAGAAGATTCGGAGAGTGAATCAAGTGATTCGGAAGACGAGGACGAAGAGCATGAGCCAATGATGAGTGTCGCTTCTATAAAACATCAAGGATGCATTAATAGAGTAAGGTAAATATTTTAGAAAGATCAAAATTCATAATTATAAAATATATATTTAGAAAATAAACAAGTATATATAGACCAATATATATAGACTAAGAATATGTTCAAAGATAGTAATGAAATATAAGCATTACTCATTAAGATAGGATTTTTGCCGCTTTTTATTTTTAAATTAATATAAATTCAAGAACAATTGCTTTTACTACTAACTACACGTTATTATTTTTATTAAATTTTGAAACATAATTAGAATTATATTTTTCTTTTAATAAATTAATAATTAACGATATCGATTATTATATGTGTTTATAGATGTACGAAACTTGGCGGAATCATCCTAGCCGCTAGCTGGAGCGAACTGGGACGTGTAAATATCTGGAACTTACAAGAGCAATTAAACGCGGTCGAGAGTTCTAGTTTGCTGGCTGCATATCGTAATAAATGTGACAAAGTAAGTGCGAGCATTAAACCATTGTATACATTTAAAGGCCATCTATCCGAAGGATTTGGTCTCGATTGGAGCTGTACAGAGTCGGGTACTCTAGCATCCGGTGATTGCAAAGGTAATATACACATATGGCGACTTGATAACAGCGGCGCATCCTGGCATGTAGATCAAAGGTCATATAATTCACATGCCCCGCACAGTGTGGAAGATTTGCAATGGTCGCCGAATGAAAAGAATGTATTAGCATCATGTTCTGTAGACAAAAGGTTCGTATTTTTTGCAAAACATTCGATTTTATGTTACTGAATTGAATTAAACATTGCTGTTTCACAAATCATTACATTGGAGATTAATTCATTTCAGTATAAAGATTTGGGACACACGAGTAAGTCCACAGAATGCGTGTATGTTGACGGCATCTGGCACTCACACATCCGATATCAATGTTATTTCGTGGAATCCGAAAGAAAGTCAATTTATGGTATCTGGAGGAGACGATGGATTACTTTGCATATGGGATTTACGACAATTCGGATCTAATAGTACGAGTCCAGTCGCTACTTTTAAGCAACACACCGCACCGGTCACCACTGTGGAATGGCATCCCACAGAAGCCACAGTATTTGCTTCCGGCGGAGCTGATGATCAAATCGCTCAATGGGATCTGTCGGTGGAAGCAGACAACACGGAAGAACTTCAGGACAGCGTATTAGCCAAATTACCGCCACAGCTGCTATTCATACATCAGGGTCAATCGGATATTAAAGAATTGCACTGGCATCCACAATGTCCAGGAACGATGATATCGACAGCGCATTCAGGATTTAATGTATTCCGTACGATTAGTGTATAATAGGAAAAATATTGCACTCTATAAAATTTCGAAAAATATATTTTAAGATTATGAAAGACGATATATTATATAAAATATATACATTTACAAATTTTTGTTTTTTAAATCAATCAATTTTATTCTTGAAATAGACTTATTTTCTATGTAATTTTTTAATTTTACTAATTAATAATTTAATAATTAAAATAATGGACTTGAAGAATTATTTGCATCTAATAAATCAATGTCTGTGAAATATGTGAACATCACAGATCATTTGTTTATTAGTAATAAAGATAATAAGTGCCTTATGGTAGGTCTTCCATGTGGACAATTCCATGGATTCTGCATTTGTGTCATTTGCATTATCAGCTTCTGCATCTCACCGATATTTAAAGCTGTGCCAATCATAACTGCACTACGACATGCTCTGGACGCCAACATTTGTCTGACACGACTCGGACGATATATATGCTTATTCTTGGTTTCGTTGCCTGCTTCTCTAATGAGAAATACTAATTCCTCTATATCCTCTTGACCAAATTGCCAGTGACCGCTGACCGGCATTCCTATCAATTCTATCTTCTTACCAGGTTCAGCTAAACAATTACATAATATAGAAAATTAACATCAATTTAATTCCATTAATTTTAATATCCCACAGTTTATTTGCATCATGAATCTGCAAGATTGATAATAACTTTTTATGAGAAACTGAAAATTTCAATATACCCTGTTCATTAATATTGAAGGTAAATCCATTATCTTCGAATGTTTGTTGATGCTCGATAAGTATCGTTTCGTTCAATGCAGAAAAATTTAGCAACTTTGGTGCAATAAGTTTTTGCGTTTTGAGCTTTGTTTCATTGCTCAGCTTCTCAAAACGAAATTTTTCGTCGGTAGCGTGTTGGTCGATGATAAATAGATCATCTTCTAATCGAGCTATTATGAAACCAAGATTAAATTGACCTATTATCTCCATCTATAAAAGATGTCTAAGTTCAAAACAAATATATATAACGTTTTAATGTATTACATAGTAAATTGTATTTAATAATTGTATATAATAAATTTAATTATACGTGTAAAGAAATAAAAAATAATATATTTATGTTATTAACCTTGCCAAATGAATCTTTTGTCAATTCTCTTTGCAGTTCTTTTTCAGCTTCACTTTGATTAGCTTCCATTTGTATTCTATACTTTATTCTTTTAGCTGTACTAATAGGTGCTCTAACAATACTTCCTTTTTCATTCAACTTTTCTTTTATAATTGCTATATTTATCATCATTTCTACATCTACATGTTTTTTCATTGATTTAATATGAGTTTGAATAGCATCATCTTTCGTCGTATGCGACAGTGAAGGAGACATTTGTAATCTTTTAGCTGGCAGATGCGTATAATTAGACGAGATCGTCCTTTTCAAACCGAAATTTAACTCCGTTAAAGTTTTAGCTGTAAAATTCCTTTGAAGTTTGTCCCATTTTGTAATTAAGCTGAATTTCAACGTTGCCAGTATAAGGCGTTCTTGCGTAACGAATATTGTTCTCTTATCAGGAGTAACATTCACGTCAGCACATTGTCTGTCTAATTTGATGTTTAGAAAGATAAAAGGATATTGTTTGTTATTGTACTTATGATACACGCTGTTGATTAGTTTGCTGACCTTCGTGAGATCACACGGCCGACCATTCACGTAAAAAAATTGTCGATCGGGGGAGGAACGTCCGATCGCATGGTCGCACGTACTCACGTAACATTCCCAATCAAAATCTACAGTAATGTTGCTAGACAAATTGTACTCCTGCAATACTGTTTCGTCCGGAGGCTGAAGTTCGAGCTTAACAATCCCATCCAAAGATTTTTTGCCAAACACAGAATTAACATTGCTTAGTACATCATCAGTGTTTCTTGTGGCTACTATAAGATTAGATGATTTGCCTGTCATCAGATTGGTACATGTAATCTTGATATTGGTAGAGACCAAGCAGTAACTGTACAAGACTTGGATAGCGCGCGCGTACTCCTTCTTCAAATTTTTCTGGAACTCTTTTGCTCTGACAGGTAGATTTTTGAATATATTCCTCGCATGCACAGTAGTTCCCTTTTCCCTTGCGCATGGTTCCTTCCTCATGAGTATGCCGTTTCGATCGAATTCCAATTTAAAACCATGTTCGCTCGATGCATGTCTAGTAATAATACTCAACTCAGACAAAGCACACAATGAACTTAACGCTTCACCGCGAAAACCAAATGTGTTTACTTCAGTTAAATCTGTGAATTCTCGAAGCTTTGAAGTGTGATGTTTTAAACCTAATTGGAAAAGGCAGTTATTACATTAAGGATCATCTTCAATATCTCTTTAATGAAAGATCAATTTTTAAATTGAGTTCTGTTATTTAAATTATTTAATTTTTTAATTATTGACAATTATCTTGATTAGTGGCCTACCTAAGCCTTCAAAGTCCTGTTCTAAAACGCCACTGCCATTATCATTAACGCTAATGCACGTTTTACCATAATCAATAAGCTTGACGTCGATCACTGTAGCTCTGCTATCTAAACTATTCTCTACCAACTCTTTGATTGCGATGGCAAGATCGAGCACAACCTAATGAAAAATATTTGCATAATATATCTCAGATCCTTGTATAAAAAATATTGATTTATTACATAACAAATTATTCAGTTTTTTTGTTAATTACATACTTAACCTCACCTGTCCAGAGCAAATATGATGAATCGTTTCTTTGTTTATAGCCTCTATTTTTTTCGATTTTTCAATCGTCGCGACGGGTTCATCCATCGTTCGACGTTCGACTGATCCACATATATACTAGATGTAACGAATATCTTAGCACGATAAAATTATATTAATTGTGAACTCGAAGCATATGTGCATCCCTTTTTCATGCATCTATCGAACTATGTTGGTAAACATAGTTGATCACAGTGTTCACTATTATACGTAGGTAACACAGAAAAAAATTTCCTTTAAAATTGGATATATATGCATAATTATGACAAAAAAAAAAATATAAATACAAGAAGATATATTTTATGTTATATATGCAATTTAATAAGCAAATTAATTTTTATTAGAAACACATATTAATATTTATTATGAAATTCTTTGTTTCCAAATAATTATAAAAATAGAATTTTTAATTTTTGCTAAATTTATAATTATTTTTAATTACTTGATTTACTTCAATTTTTTTAATAAAAATGTAGCTATATTTATTGATGGAAAAATATATATTTCAAATTTAGAGATTTACTTGACATATAAAATTATTTTATACATAAAACAAATATAAAATTTTTAATATGTGCATGATTAGAATACAAAAATGTGTCAATGATATATAATCGATTATTTGGTTTATTAATAACTTTTTTTTACATTTTTTAATGGGTACTACAGTCCTATTAAAAACACATATTTTACAAATCCGACCTAATTCCAAATCCAGGACCTGGTGGTGGAGTAGTTAATGATGTTAATCCACCAGCAGGATCAGCTGCAAATCTCGGAGACTTTTGTGGACCTGGCGCAGGTCTCTCACCCTTCTTAAACGCATTTATTATAGCTGTCGCAGTTTCCGGAGTCAAATCTTCCTGCAAAAAGAAAAGGAATATAAGTATAGTGTTGTTTTCTAGGATTTAAATTTAATTCCTAAATAAATAAATATACGCACATAATAATCATCGTTTACTTGGAACATCGGAGCATTGGCGCAAGCGCCTAAACACTCCACCTCTGAAATGGTAAACAGCTTGTCTGCAGAAGTGCTGCCGATTTCGCAGTTTGTAGCCTTCGTCACGGCATTGACTATCGAATCAGAATCTCTCAACCAACAAGGAGTACAGGTGCATATCTGTACATGATACTTGCCCATGGGCCTGCGATTGAACATTGTGTAGAATGTGGCTACTTCATACACTCTCATACGTGGCACCTCCAGTATCTCAGCAACTTTATGCATGGCAGAGATAGGCAACCAACCATGTTGCCGTTGAGCCAGATCTAACAGAGGTATCATAGCACCACGCTTATGGCCTTCAGGATAAATTGCAAGAAGTGCTTTAATACGCTTTTTATTTGCCTCATTGAACTCAAATGGTATATTAGGATTGTCATGCTCACTGTCTCTATGCTAAAATCAAAATGCCATGTCTCAATTAAATTTTTGTTTTTATTATTATAGTTATTTATTATTTTTTGTTATTATTGTTACATACTACAAACAGCTGATCTGACCCGCGATTCGCTGTTGTTTGAACTCCCCTTATGTTTCTTGGAGTCTATTGAGAACAAAATTAATCTTGAAGACAGGTCAAATAATAAGTCAAATGACAAATGATGAATACAGAAACTAAAATAAGAATAAGAATAAAATAAGAATTATTTCACTTCTGAGCATACAAAAATTTTCTCCTTGCATTTGTTCTGCCTTTTATAAAATTTAATATGAAATTATTAGTAATAAAAATAAAAAAAATATATAGAAAAGATAAATGTAAAAGGAATTAAAGTAGAATTTTTCTTGAAGGCGTGTATGTTTTACATTGTATAAAACGTGATTTTTTTCATAAGAATATCAAGCATAATTAATTTATGCTGAGAACAGGGTGTTTTATAAAATCGATACAAAATCGATATAAAATTGATCGATACAATTTCGAAGATTATGTAAGGCATTTGAAGTTAAAGCAGAGAGGTAAAATACAGCAAGTAGCAGATTCTCGAAGAGTGATTACTTACGAAGAGCCCGCAAGCTCGACGTACAGACGTCAACATGCCGAATGCAGCTGAATGACAGGCGTAACGTAACAAAATTCTCGCTCGCTTTCACAACAAACAATCAATCACCCTATACCATATTCGTGCAAGCTGTGACAACCAGTAGTGCTGCAGTTGTGTAGTCTGCAGATTGGCCAATTATAATTTAAAGATAAATTCTTTAGGGCTTCTTTCATCATAGGTCTGTTCTTTTCGATTGAACTTTTTGCATAACTCATCTTTCTTTTCTTTCCAAGTTAGTGTCGGTCCACAATAGGTGATTTAAGCTTTAAGAAGTAAGAAATTGATCAATTATAATCGAATATGAAAAGAATAATCGATTATGATTGGTCAATTTCTTACGACTTAAAGATTAAATACTTATTGTGGACCGACACTTAGAGAGAAAAAAGAAAAGATGAATTGTGCAAGTTCAGCTGAAAAGAACAGACCTCTTTTCATTTAACTTAATTGACCGATTAGTCCAATGGAGATGACCAATCACATTTCTCGATAAATTTAATAAAAAATACGATTGATTAATTCCAATAGAATAATCGGTTGATTAAATTAATTAAAGATGGTGAAAAAGGTCTTATAACCGCGTTCTTTATGGTACTAGATAGGGCATTCGGCAAAATTTTCTTTAATCTTTCGTCTTGACAGACCTAGAAAGAGAGAAATGTATAAACACGGATCTCTCTTTGTACTCTTTCATTGTATTCCTTTCTAATAGTCTTTATTCCAATGGTCCAGATAAATCGTCAGTGAAGAAATCAAAACAAATTTAAATCGAATTGCAGTTTTATTGAAGTGCAATTTGTCTGAGATTCGTCCTGACATCCGTAAGTAAGAATAAATGAAAGTGCGAATATGAGTGCGAGTATGAAGGAAACAGTGCATAATTTGAGCAATGTCGTAAATAACGAACACATCCACGGAAATGAGGTAAGATTTTACAGTAAGATTTACAGAAGCGATGCTCCTCTCTTCCTCTTTATTTATCTTTCTAATTTCTTACAGCAATTCCTGTTTGTAAAATATGTTATTTCTTTTATGAGAAAACTTTGGACAATTTTTCTTTTTTTTTATTTCTGAAATTTTCAATTTTTATTATGCCCTTAGGTTATGTTGTGCACAAATTAAATTTGTTTAATCGACCTGATGTTATTGAAACAATTCTAATAAATATTCATATGAACATATGTTTTCTTTAAATATAAATATCTTGCATTCGTCGAGTAATTTCTACAAGTTACAAATATATAGTAAAAAAAAAGAATTGCTGAAGTTTAATATTAAAATAGAAGATAAATGTTTATTGTCCTCTTGAGAAACATTACCTTCTGCTTGTAATTGCAGCAAGCAGTCATATCTGAAGAATCGCCAGCCAAGCAAAAATTAAGAAGCTGGCTGAACCGACATCTGCGTATTGAAATGACTGATGGAAGGGTGCTAAGAGGCGCGTTTCTTTGTACGGATCGTGATGCCAATGTTATTTTAGGCTCGTGTACTGAATATCTATCCACAGAGCATACGGAAGCAAGAGTTTTAGGTTTGGTGATGGTACCCGGTCGACATATTGTTTCAATACATTTAGATGTTTGAAGCGATGTCTCTTCACAAGTCTGTAAATACTATCTCCATTATATTTATTTATTATACTGACATGTACGTTATATGTTGGACATTATATAAACATAGTAACATTTGCCTTGTATATTTTGAAGATTTAAGTTTCGTGATGTATATAAGTGGAAAATGAAAAATATAAATCTTGTTAATTATTGATATCCAGCACATATATTGGACATTTTATATTATACTTTATCACGATTTTATTAAAACATGTTTAAAAAGAAAAATATAAACATTTTTGCAACAATCCTCTGAGTGTAGTGAGACATACTTTTCTCATTAAATTTTTATTAGAAACATGTTATAAATTCTGGATAATAAGAGAAATACATGAGAATAAATAATTGTTATAGAAAAAACATGAACGAGCATTTTTTTAAATAGAAAATATATAATTGAATAAGATTTGATTTGACAATAATATATATAAAAATGAATATAAAAAAATTGTTTATTAACATATTGTTAACATGTTTATATACATAAATCTATCACAATAATGCAAATTATTTCTAACTTCTTTTATAAGACAAAAAGAACCTCGAAAATGTAATTCTTTTTCTAGAAAAGTTTATTGTTTTTTCTCAGTTATTTTCTTATTGCCTTTAATGCACTGTTCCTGTATATGCCAGTATGTTCGTTCTAACTCTAGATTGCTATCAATCTCCATTTTCACTCTCTTCAATGCATCCTCTATCCTCTGTTGAAGTGTGCTAGTCAAACTATCCATCCCGCACATGTAACTTAGTTCTGCGCTGGTTACTGCCATTTTGTGTACATAGTCCATGTAGGTGGCAAAGCGCTAATTAAAAAAGTATAATTATAATTCCTATAACATCTACTTTTTATTTTATATGTGCATGCTTTCATTAAGTTGTACAATATCATTTAGATTCTATACCAGGATTTTTTAACCAATATGCTGCAAAAATTTTAGAAATAAAGAAGAGAATAAAGCATAAAATTAAAAATTATGAAGATTACTTAAATATTAATTTACTCTTATAATTAATTATATTAATTTACTCTTATTTTAATTAAAATATCGCAATAAAATTATTTTTAAAACAAAATATAAAATAAAAACTTTAAGATTTTACTTCTTATATATTAATGTTGTGTTAGCAGTATCTGATATGCTACGAAAGATTTGACTCATGTTTAATGTTTTGCGAATTGGAAAAGATTGAAAGATGTTATTCTATACCATAAAATAATAAATAACTTTTGGTTTGTGTTGTTTAGTGAGTAATATTATTAAATATTACATCAAACAAGAATTAATATTTTTTAATTCTTTGTTACCATAATCTCTTGTTTCTTATCTTGCATTTTATTCCGTATCTCTACGATCAAATCCCAGTGTGCATCATTCACATTACGGATTAGAGTTTCTTCAAGAAGAGAAATGAGTTCGTTCAATAATGTTCTAGAAAATTACTTAATTAATGATAAATATTATGAGTGACAAAAACATCATAGACTATTATTTACCTATATGTAACACTTAGATCTATTATAGCCATATAAGTAACAGTCAATGCCTGAGTTGCACTGTTGACAGTATTCAATGCAGATTGTTTTATCATGTATTCATGAGTTAGTTTTTTTATATCCGGTGGGTCTAGATTTAACCTATCATTTTCGTTAGGCTTATCAAACGAAGTACAATGTGCAAATAATATACCTGATGTGTACTGGAAACACATTGGTTTTTTTTAACGAAATTAAAAATAGAAAATGAAATAGTGAATAATGCTGAATTCTCACCATCGCAGGATATATATTTTCCCATAATTTTCCAAGAATTCGACGCATCGCCATAATGTAATTAATACAGTCAAACTATGTTTTTTTGTATTCAGGATTGATGATTTTTTGCAACTTGTCTATTCTTAATTCTCATTTAAAGTCTTCATTTATAAATTCTATAATTTAACATAAATAAAAGTTCAGAAACAAAACTTTAGAAGCCAATGAAAAACAGACGATACTATATATATAACCTCACTTGTAGAGTCAGCTGATAACACAAAACATAAAATGGATCACAAGAATTAAGGATACGTTTCTTGCCGTATACGTATAATCGTGCATCATTTATTCTTGTTTAATATGTGAATAATAAGGATAAACGATACATCACGCGTATCACGTAAGAAAAGAAACTTCTTAATATTAAAAATAAAAATGTTGAAAAAAATAGAGAAATTCTTAGTTATAATCAAGTTTTTTTCCATATACATACATACATATATAATATAATACACACACACACACACACACACATCATACATCATACATACATACATATGGAAAAATTTTATATTTTTAAATTATCACAGAAATTTTTCAAATATTTCTAAAAGAAAAATAAACGATGACAATATATTTTGTCTTCTATTTTTATTTCAATAATATATCTCTCTTTCAAATTAATAAATATTACGAATAACATTAAAAATTACAACTATTTTTATTGGAATGATAAAAATTTTTTGAATCTTCAAATGCCTATCTGGCAGTAGAATAATATTATGCATAATTTTTGTTATTAGAGAATTCATCTAAATATTAATTTAAAAAAACGATCTTATCATGATACCCAAAGAATTGACTTTTTTTCTATTCAACATAACATAAATTGTTATATATTTACAATATAATCAGCATTCTAATTTCGTGAAGAAATAGGTATGTATTAGAATATCTAAATGTCTCATTTTTTTATGTGATATCATTATGAATAACAAAAAAAGAAATATTTATATGAACTTTTCTTTATAAAGAAATGATACAAATCAATGTAACGTACCTAGGAAATGAGATAATTCATTCAAAACTACTAATGTACATCTATGGAAAATCTACATGAAAAGACTCATTCTCTAAAAGATATGCAAGAATTATTTTATGAACAAAGATTATTTTATATATATCCTTATCATTCGTGTTTTTACAAGCAATAATATGCTTTATACTGCAATTTTATGTAGTATGATGATACATAATAAAAGATACACTTGCAGTAAGAGCATCTTACATGTAAAGTCACAAATTTATGTTCTAAATACTTGAGATAAATTCTCTCACAGAACTGGCCTATGTGTGTCCGTTATCAAATAAATCAATTGTTGGGATCTGTTATTGGTTGACACTTGTATAACATAATTATTGCAAACAATTTTTAAGATTGGTACTTTAGTAATGATTTTTTCTCGTTTGCAATGAATGAATGAAGAAATCGTATCCTGGTATAAATATATATTATTAATTAAATGGAACAGTTTGTATTCACATTCGCAGAATAACTTATTCAACCACAGCAACACATAAAAAATTTCTGCTTTGATTTTAAATGCATCCGACGAAAATAATCTACAAAAATTGCCTAAATCGACGATTGTATCGTCGATGGATATAACAGAGAATCACACTCTTAAATAAATTATTTCTTATAATTCGTTATGATTTTTTTCTTCGTTATTTAATTGTTCTTTGTTTTCTGGTAAAAATAACGGATCTTGTGTGCTATCCGTTGTTTCTAATATCGGTTGTTCTTCTTGTTGTTCTACATCAGGTGTAGACTTCTCTTTTTCGGTATCGGAATCAGCTATGGATTCTTCATTTTCCTCTATCGTGTGCTCGGCTTTATTATCTGTTTGATTCGCTGCAGCTTCTTGCTTCGGTTTCCAAATTTTTACTTTATTCAAAAGATATTTAATTTCTCTGTCGAGTAACTCCATTTTATTCGCGATATGACGAACTTTGTATTTTACTGGTATATTCAGCGGTGCATCTTCGAAATATTTTGAAACTGTTTCGTAATAATCCTGAAAAAAGAATATTATTTTTCATATTATAATAATAACATTAATAAACGTACAATGTATCATTATTAATTTGAGATCGCTTTAAATATCATTAAAGTCAAATCGCTACCTGCGTCTCATTAATTGCTTTCTCTAACGTTTCAATTTCAACAGACGTAATAACTTCACTCGTTGCACTTAAGTTACGCATATTATCCAAGAACAATCTACTGCCTTGAAGTAACGAAACCATTCCATTCAGAACTTCTGGACGATCTCGATATTCAGAGACTCTCTCATAGATGTCATTGGTTAATTTTTGTAGTTCTATCAATTTCTCTTCATATACTTCTGCGGTGGCGGTAAATCCATCCTCATACAACCACTCGGAGATCTCGGCGCATGCTTTCCGAATCTCTTCGATCTCCTTCTCGGTAGCTGCATCCGAAAATTCCTTGGAATCGAATTTCTGCTGCGCGTCAATTACATACGACTCAAGATTGTTTAATGCGGTCTCACGGCGTGCTTTCTCCGAATCATGCACATCTAATCGATGTATCCTAAACAAAAAAAGAATGTTTCATTAAAATAGAGAGTTTATAGTAAAGCGATATTAATAAAATTTAAATCACCAGAATATATATTGAAAATATAGAAATAATTATTTCATACTGTGTATTAATATATTTTTACTTACTTGTCTCGAGATTCGGTAAGTTTCTCACCAGATAAGATCTGTGATCCTAGTTTAGCCTCTTTTGAACTAATAGGTTCCTTAATCTGAATGATTGTGGACTTCTTTTCTTTTTCTGTCTTCTCAGTTTTATTTGCAACTTTGTCTTCATTCCCTTTTGTATCGCTCTTCTTTTTTTCTTTCTCTTCTGACTCTTTTGTTGATTCTGGATATTCTGGTTCTTCATGTACTGGTTTTATATCCTCTTTCGGTGCCTCCTCCGTCTTCTCTGCTGTTTCTTTCTCTAAAGAGGAGCCTGAAAAATTAAAACTTCAATATTTAATATGCTTTTCTCTATATACATTAAGATAACAGATAATTAGGGCCTAGAATTTTATGTCCTTGATAATATGAAATGCATAGACTTTTATCTCAAATAATGTTTAAAGAAATAACGCATACTCCATGCATGAAAAATATTGCAGGAACTGTCCAATTAATATAAATTATTCTATTGACATATAAGCTTTGAAAATTTGTATTATTGTAAGAATGCGCATTTATAATTGTCAACGACAATAAAATCTGAGTCCTATTTAACAATAAAATTGTTCTCATATTAAAAGCATCTACATTTCTTTTTTTCATATATCTCTTGATAAAAATGCTTGCAAAAAATGATTCAAAACGTAACATGAAATAATTTGTACATTTTTTTTCATTATGATAATACAACTTTTTCTTTTCTTAAGATACAAGACAGTTCTTCAATATATACAAATAAGATATAAAGAAGAACCAACATATACATAGTGCAAATATTGTCTAAACAGAGATTTGTACATGCAACAAAAACAAATAACATCATTTTTTGCACTGCCTTCGGCACAAACCTGCAAAGAATTTACTAATAGTTGAACCAAGTATTGAGAAAGTACCCTCTTCCTCATCAACGACAGTACTCGATTTTTCGGAAACTAATTCTACAGTCAATAAATTCAGTATGCCACTATCGTCTATATTAAAGTGCACTTTGATTCCTTTACTTTCGGCGCCTTCCTTAGCATGCTTTTCTAATGCTTCAGCTACGCCATTCAGTGATATATTAGATATATGTAAATCACCAATAGAACTGTAAAAATTCAAATTCAAATTGTAATTTTAGAGATAACAAATTTTGGTATTTAAAATGTGATATGTTAATTTGTTTCCAATTGTTTAATCAACTACTACAAATATATAAATAATTACAGATACTTACGTTACCTCACTAGCAGGTAAATAATCCAATTCAGCATAATTGACATGAAAATCAAAATCATTCGTATGCTTATTGAATGTAATAATTTTCTTTTGCGGAAAAGGATTCATTCTACCAAATAATGTTTTTTTACCTGTATATAAAAATAAATTTTGGAAAAAAATATACTTCTTTAATATCAAGAATTAAAATATATAAAAAACAATTATATGTAATTACATAACATTTTACCTGTCTCACTTTGTCATCAATAGCTCTTTCAAAAGTGATTTGAATTGGAAACAATAAAGCATCTTTCGTGACAAATTTCTTGACCTTGAAACCTTGACTAAGATCAGCTGCTTTGTACGCAGCCCCTAAAGCAGCTGCCTCATCTGTATTTACATTTTTTGATAATTCTGTTTTTACATATTGAGACAATGTTTCCTGTACCTTTGGCATGCGAGTACCTGCTCCGACCAATACAACATGCGATATGACATCCATTGTCAAACCTGAAACACGTTTAGCATGTATATGTTTAAATATATATTTGCAAAAATTATAATCATGTTTTATTTGTAAAAAAAAGATAGTCCAGTACCTGAAGTATCCAATGCAATCTTCACAGGATTCGCTACACGATTGAACAAATCAGCACATATCTCTTCCAATTTTTCTCTCGTGACTTGCAATTTAAAGTCAATATCATCTATCAGACTTTCTATCTGAGCAAAATGATCTGCATTGGCACTAAGTACAGTTTTGACGCGTCCAGCTTCTTTAAAAAGCTTTGCCATTGCTCTCGGACTTTTGAATACCGAATTCGGTGTTTTTTTAAGAGCATCAAATTCTTGTGCTAAATAATGCTGCAGTCTGATTTGCATTTCTAGTCCGCCGAGCGTACGATCATATCCCACGCCTAGTACAGTTACGTGAGGATTCGTTTCGAGAAAACCTCTTTCTTTCGTTTTTACATTTTGATAACTGACAACTATCGCGGTCGTGCTACTAGCTCCCATGTCATAAAACATGATGTAATGCGCGGAATCATTTATCTCCGTTCTACCAAACACACCGTAGTTTAGAGCAACTGCGGTGTAATCGTTTATGAGCTGCAGTACTTTCAACCCGGCAAGTTCCGCCGACTGAATCAAGGCTCTCCTTTCGGCCTGATTGAAAAATCCCGGCACAGTGATGACAGCTTCATTGATCTTTTGATGGGCGGAAGCTTCTGCAATCTCTTTGCCTTTGTGCAATATTTGTGCTAGTAACTCCTCTGGAGTATATGTCGTGTTTTCGTTTAATCTAAACGCTACAGTTTTTCTGTCATCATCAGCAACGATATCATAGTAAGGAAATCTTTTTCGGTAGAGTTGTACTATTGGATTGTCTATAGGTTTTCCTAAAAGATCTAGGATGTAGAAGAAGGTGTTCTGGGGAAATCTCACTCCAATTACTTGAGCATCTTCACCAAATGACCTCTCCCCATTTCTGAATGCGATCGCGACTGGCGTTTTTCTCTTAGACTCCTTATTTAAAGCTATTTCCATAGGAACACCAGGCTGTGGAACAAAACAAAACAAGACATCATATAAGAAAAATATAATTAAATTTTCAAATATATAGAAATCATATCAAAATACACTTGATTAATAATGTTTTCTAATGCAAAACTGTCAGTCTGAAAAGTTTGTTTGATACAGATTCGCTACAACAAGCAGTCTAACAACATACCGAGACGATGGCAACCTTCATCCATTCGCTACCAAGGTCAATGCTCATAACGGCAATTTCTTCGCTGACGCCGATGAAGGTGGCGATTATGAACAAGGCTAACGATATCGACATGCTTCTCTGCGAAAATTCCATCTGGAAACAGATTTGAGATGTGACACGTCAGGAAGAATCAGGCGGAAGAATTCGAGCGGGTCCGTACACGTGTATGTACACTGCGCTAGATCGTGGTACAGGATATACGTACTGGTTTGACCCGGACTCTAGTTGTCAAACTTGGTTATGAATACCGGCGACGTGAGATACGTCGCAATCAGCAAAAACGTTAACTCCTAGACGAATTGACGCGCACTCACCTTGTGCTCGCGTTTACCGACGACACGTACGTTACTCGAGTGGGGCGGCTCTCAGCTGTACATTCAGAACGCACGCTCGCGCATCGCAACCTCCTTTTAAATCAACAAAAATCCGAGCGTGACACTCTCCACTGTGACACTCTGCCTCGAGGTCCGTGCCGCGGAGCACCATGTGTTGGTGTGGCACATGGCGATTGGCGGAGCACATCGGCAGGCTATTGGTCCGCGTTGGCAAATCGAGACCAATTACATCGTCGTAGTTGCGCGATGACACCAATACCATCCAATACTCTGACAGCCAATTCCCGAGCCTTGTTTCCACGATGCTTAAAGCCAATTCATCGAACGCACATAAAATTCGCAAATAAAATTCGCGAAAAAATGGCAATTCAAAAGTTTAAAATAAAGAACATATCTCATCATTATTTACATGTATTAATTAGTTATAAATAGATAATATTTAGAGATGAAAACCTCACTATTTATCTAATGAATGAAATATTCAAAGTCAACATTCACAATCAAAAATCATGTGACAAATGAAATATTAACTTATTAAATATTAAATAGTTAATAGCAATTTTAATTTGATAATTAATTCTGTTGACAGAATTATTTCGTTTCTAATTACACAATTTAATGTCTACAACCTGATCTCTCTTTTCATGTATCAATTTTATAAAAAATAACAAAAAGTCAATAATTCTATTCAGACTATCAAGTACTGCCATTTAGTCGATTGGAGTTTGGCCAGTCAACTTGCGTATATTCGCTTTGTAAGATTATAGATATGTTAAATAGAGAAAATGATTTATTTTGATCAAATAAAGCTCAATAAATTTTTAACTATGTTTCTAGTTCATTTATTTAACTTTGATATCAGACATTTGTAATTATCTTCTTTATAAAATACAAAATACAAGAATATTAACAAAATGAAGAAAAAGATATAAATATGGAATTCATGCAGAGATCGAAAAAGTTACAATTTAAAGTTAAGATGCGATTTAAAATTATTAACATAAGTAACATATAATTCTATCACATAAAAGATATAGTCTCCTTACACATCTGTTGAGTAAATCTCATATATATATTTGTAACTTGTAATCGCTATCGCATTTTCACAATTCCGATGAATATAAATAAGAATTATGCGTACAAAAACGTTTATGATATAATTCGACGTTGCTGCAAATCAAATTGAATGTTTGAAGCTATATAGGGTGTTGATGCCATAGAGTTCCCTTAATTGAGCTTCGCCTGATGCTTGATTTGACTATGCAATAACAAAAATATTTTTCATCAACAGCACACGTCTATTAACCCCATTGATCCTCAGATCGACCAAACTTATATGTGAGCGAACCCAGAAAAATAAATATATTCTGCAGGAATAACCCCACACCTGGCCAATGATGTGCTGCGCCTATACAGAGATAAAATAATATATATTTTATATTTATGTGTATGTGTATATGTGTATGTGTATGTATGTGTATATATATATATATATATATATATATATATACTATA